TACTCGCTAAGTTGACGAAACCACACGAGATAACATTAAGTGTTACGCGCTTGACGCACCGTTGCTGGCGTACACGATGGGCGTCTTTGATTCCCCGCGCATCGCCATCTATGCTGGTGAAGACCTTCGAGCCCGATTGGTTCATAAATTTCACGACAACCAAGCAGGCGGACACCTGGGTCGCGAAAAGCCTTTTGCGGCTATTTCTCGCGTATTTTTCTGGCCGCGAATGTATAAGTACATCCAGAAATGGGTGCGCTCCTGTGAAACCTGTCAGCGTGTGATGCCCGCGCCATCCTCACAAGCCCCATTGCGTCCGCTTCCGATTGCTACGGAAGCCTGGCGCTCGGTCAGCATGGATTGTATCTATCGCCTTCCACCGGATGAACAGAAACGCACGGGCGTATTGGTTCTAGTGGATCAATTTAGCGAAATGGTGCATTTTGCTCCGGTCTCCGCCAACATTACGGCGGAGACGAAAGCGAAGATTTTCATTGATCTTATCTTTAGGCATCACGGCTTGCCAGAATCTATTGTTTCGGACAGTGACCTGTTGCTTATGTCAATGACGACCCATCCAGAGACGGATGGGCAAACGGAGCGTGTGAACAGTGCTCGAATATATCTTGCGCAGTGATGAAACAACGTTCTCGTCATAAAGTTCGTTTCTACCACTTGCAGAGTTTGCAATCAACAATTCTGTCCATGCGTTAACCGGGTTGACGCCCTTTTTCGTTAACAACGCGAGGCAACCTCGCGTTCCGGCGCTACTTGCTCTCTCAGCTTCAGAGCACCCTGACTCAAAGCTTGGTTGAGGAGTATCTACGGATGGAATTGCGCCAAAACTATTGATGATTGATTACGATGAGGAAAAGGTTGCTGCCGATGCACCTAATACTGGTAAGTGGCCAACGGTATATCGAATCCTGACGCGATGCTTTCCATCGCGTCTCCCGTTGCCAATTTACCCAAAGAAAATACGTCGCCTGTAAGTTCGGCTGCAGTAACCCAATTTCTGCTATTACGACAAGGAATCACGCGTTTTGTGCGTGATGCATTACAAGAGGCAGTCGACAAGCAAAAAAAGGATGCAGACAGAAGAGGTCGAAAAAATATGTCAAAATTTCGAGAAGGTGACAGAGTATTGTTATCAACGAGTGGATGACCGAAAACCTCAGTGACGAATTTGGGCGCTGATAAGTTAGAGCCAAGATATTTTGGCCCATTTCGGGTTGTTTAGGTGCATCGTAACGATTACACGCTAGACATACCTACATCTATGCGTTTGCACCCGACTTTCTACGTCAGGCGCCTCAAGGCTTACCTACCGGCGGATCTCCCTTCGAATCTTCCCCGCTCTTCTGCGCCGGCTCGAAATCCGACATCCTTTGACGACGACGTTGACGACGACTGGGACCAAGTCCTGCCCGAACGAGTGCAGACTCGATCTTCTGGGGTCCTCCGAACGCAGTCGTCTCAAGTTGACGTAGGCGCTCAACCAGTACCAGCTGCTCACGTTGAGTCCGCTCAGCAGCCTCAGCCGCAGCATCCGCACGATCTTGATCTCTCTCAGCCATCTCGCGAGCATCAAGTAGGGCATTCTTCGATTCCTCGGCTTCAGCGCGGAGTAGGCGCAGCTCATCATTCGACTTTACAGGCGCCCATTTGCGAGAATCGGTGCTCATCGCCAGAGGTCTTCCGTCGTGATGCTCCTCCTCCCTTAGTAGATGCATCGGGTGCGAGACGCTGGATTGTTAACCGAATTGTCGATCACGAAGATCACAAGCCCCAGGCGCCGAGTAATAACTCGGCGCCCATGAAGAACTATGTCGAGAAACATTACAGGGTTCGCTGGTTGGGATATTCTTCGACGGACAATACATGGGAGCCATCGAGTACGCTGTCCCGGACGTGGTCGAGGACTATGAGTCCCGTAGAAAGACGGTGATCGCGACCGACGCTGCCGGTTCCATCCCCGATCTCGCGAGCCGTAATGCTCGCGAGCAACGAAACCACGAGACCTTTCGAGAGACTCCGAGACCGAGACCTATTACGAGGCTCGGGAGCATACGGATGATACGGTTGACGACCTCGGCTACGTGAACGCCCACGACGATCGTAAAGACACGCTCTCACTCGCCGCAGCTCGGACATCTGGAGCTCCGAAGGACTTCTCTTATAACGGGCAATCCATGGACGAGTATGATCGGGCATGCCTCGCGCGCACACCAAGTCGTCCCATTCCTGCCGGACCGGTCGCGATCTGCCCACGTTGCACGTTGGACATCCCTCACGTATGTGGACGTAACAAAGGTGATACTCGTCACAAGTCATACGACAGATGCGCCGGCGCAGGTCGCCAATAGCGTGTCTATCACGCGTTCCCTCGCGACCGTCTAGCCAGGACGTAATGGGCGTTCCTTCACGCCGGCTCGCGTTCCAGCGCCTGATAAAGGCACACCAAGATCTCTGCAACGCATCGTCGGTATATGCGTTGTTCGTCGCTTTGCCTCTCACTGTACGGTATCGCGTGAAAAGGTCCTTCATGACCTCCAGTGGCTCGGGTTCGACAGCACCTTCAAGACCATACATACGCCACGGTTTCAAGTCCCCATCCATGACCTGCGGCGCCTGCTCTCTACGGATTGTCGCTTGGTGTTCCCAGTTCTGGCTGTCAGAGACATTGTTTCGTGGACGCCTAGGGTCCATGCTGATCAGTTAAGTCTAACTGAGCAGGTTCGGAGTTACGCCGTTGGTCGAAAAGAAACTTTCTGCGATTTGTGCTTACGTTGAGGTAAGCGCAACTTAAAGAGGGGGGGGTGATGTAATGGGGCAACCAATTGCATAAGGAGTTATAGGATTAATACATAATTAAATAAGTAGGAATAGGGCAGTATCCGATTAGCGGATACCGCGCGTCCTTTTATTATTGGTTTATTATTGGGGTGCCAGACCCAATAATTAGCCAATAATAAATTGACTTCCATATTGAGTGGTTCCCATGAGGTAGGGAACATACTCGCACTTACTGCGAATTAAAACAAAACAAAGATAAAACAGAGTTATAGTTACAAGTTAATTAAGAGCGCTTCCTCAACGCCCTTTTAGTGTAAGACGGTAACGGGTCTTTAGCCCGTTACAAAAAGGCAGTCCCGACGCAAAGATCATCGTCCGCGTCATGTTTAACACCGTCCGGTGCATACTTCGGCTATTCCGTTGGACGCTTGATTGCGCACCTCACTCACTTGGTGAGCGACACCAGTCTGCTTGCAAAACAAGTCGACATTCTGGTACTCTCCTCCTTCGTCTATGCACAACATGGCGACCTTGCAATTGAACTCTAGCTCAAAGAAAGCGAGGAAATGCTCGAGCTTCTTTGCGGCGGCATCCATGGTCTTAGACAGGAAGATGCGGCAGTAATTACTCTTATGATCGACGAAATTAACAAGATATTGGTTCCGCAAGCGATCAGCCGGTGTCAATGACCGTTTGTCATCGGAGCATATCACTCCGCCGACACGATCAATTGGAGAATGTTCTCCGGTGTCCTTCTTGCTATGACTGTTCTTCTTCTGTTTGCTCTGGGCACACGTGATGCACGTCAAACGTCTGTGATTCGTGATGCAAATTACACTGCCTGAGTTCTTCGCGATCCTCTCGATCGTGTCATACGATAAATGCCCGAACCTCTGGTGAAAGTTAACGAGTGTCGCTTCTTGCACATCGGGCGACACATCTGCCGTCGCCTCCTCCTCAAGAGCAGCAAAGATCCCGTCTGCTGTTTTGATCGCGCTGGACTTCTCGACGACCAGATCACTATTGCCCACCGTAACGTCAAACGCGACGTGTCCATTTGATCGCCGTAAGACTTTACACCCATCGACAGTGTACGTGAGTGCGTACCCAAGCTGCTCGAGCTTCCCGAGCTGATGAGATTGTGCGCAAGACTTGGCGCGTAGTAAACATCCTACAGCTCTATCTGACGCTGCTCGCCGCGAGCTGTCACAAACAGGCGCACCCGTCCGACCTTCATGAGCACGAGCTTCTTGTTGTCAGCAAGAAAGATCTCATCGTTGTACTGCTTGCTGTCGATGAGTAAACGATCGTCTATCACGATGTGGCGGCTGGCGCCGCTGTCAAGGCTCCAGTTGGAGCTCGCATCTTCTTGGCTGTCTTTAACGGTCACCAGTAGCACTTCTTCGTTGTCGTCTTTGCCCTTCTTCTCCTTCCTCTTGGAGCGACAATCCTTTTTAAAATGTAGTCCCTGCTTCTTGCAGTTGTGGCACGTGCGCGTTTCTTTGGGCTGTGTCTAGTCATTTGCGACTGCGATGAGCTCGCTACCCAGTGACTTGCCGGCACGACTGTCTACCTCGATTGCTTGGGCAAAGTGCGCAAGCTACTCAGCTTGGCGCAAATTTTTCGATTTTTCCTGCGTCGAACTTCACCATGAGCATCGTCGACAAATCCGCCGACGCATAATGTACTATGTTGTCAAGTACCCGCGCATCGGTGCCTCCTCCACACGCGTCGCTCACTGCGACCATGTAGAGATAGTGTTCGGACCACGACCTATTGTGGTCCTTCGTGTCCGTGAATAGCTTCATCGATTGCGACGCTTTGATCGTCATCCTGAACGCTTATAACATGCTCTCCATGATGTGGTCGAGAGTTGGGAGCTGCTCCCACCAAACATCGACTTGCTTATTGTAGTATCGCTCGGCGGCTTCCCTAAGGTAATGCTCGAAGAGATCAACTCTTTCATCTTCATCCCACGGGAAGCCTCACGCCGCCTGTGAGAAGTTCACCGTACGGATGAGCGAGCGTCCTCAGTCCTGAAAGCCGGCGCCGAGTCCTTGATACAGTTCAAAGCCGTCAAACTTTCGGATCGCGAGCTTGCGCTGACGCGCGTACGGCGTCCAATACCATTGCAGTACTGTCTCTGGTGCAGCAACCGGTGCTGTCTCTGCCTGTTGTTGCATTGGCGCATACGCTTGCTGTGCTTAGGCTTGTTGCATCGCCGGGGCCTGTTGCTGCTGCTGCGGTGGCGGTACTCGTAAATCGAGAGGCTCGAACAACATTTGTCCCAAAATTGGAGCTCGCAGACGTGGCCGCGGAGCTGCTGGCGGCTCAGGTGATCTTCTTGGAGGCATTAACCCGAGTAATTTGCGGTTCATTAGTCCTCCACCAATCCTTCTGCCGAGAGCTGAGTCAAACAGTCCACTTTCGAGGGTGCCGCGTAGGCCCTCTTTCCCATCGATTTGCATCAGCGACATCTCAAGTCGATCTATGCGGCTCGTCATGTTTTCGAAAGCAGTGGGAATCCGTGCGCTGATGGCCAAGTTCTCGCCCCTTTCGTGAGCGGAAAATCGACGACCATCGCAGCCGCTGGCGCAGCTGGTGTAGCAGCAGCTGCAGCTGTCGGTGCGGCAGCCGTTTCGTGACCGTCGTCAGTGACGCGTGCTGCAGTGCTTGGCGTGCCGTTCGTCTCAGAGCCAGAAATTAATCTCATAACCTGTTCGTTGTAGAAGGCTTCTTGGATTCTGGCATTCATTACACAGTTCTTCGCGCTCGCTATCTGTCGGTCTCTCTCGCTCGATAGCTCTTCACTACCGTTCATGCAACCTTCTCACTGCGCTCTCACCATACGATCCAAAAGTCACGCGATCATTCCACTCGTCGCAACAGCTCACGGCGTCGCACACGCCATCGCGACTGCTGCCGTAAGTCGTCTGCTTCTCTCTTCTCCCTGCGTACTGGAACTCAGTGTGCCCGATACTTACTTTTCGCATCTTCAATGCAACCACTACGATCATGCATTTAAACAGAGCGACTTAAATTAAGATGGAGGGGAGGTTATCTACATACATAGTTGTAGGTTAATATTTATTTCACACAGGTTATAACAAATAAGTCTTATTAGGAATTTAATTATATTAAATACAGTTCTCTTTTCTTCTTAACTTCTTGTTGATAAGAATTCCTCTGCTCACGTGTACGTGAAGCTCTGAGGCACCTGCTTCACTGTCATCAGTGTAATTAAAAATTTTTTTAAGAGTATAAACGAAGGGTACCCCATTACACCTAACAGCACTTCGTGACCCGTTCCACGACCACCGTACGTACTCTATGAAATTAGGACATAAAAAGCGTCATCACACGTTGCGTGATGACTGCCGCCATTTAAGTTTTTTTTTAATGGCAGGCGGTACAGTGTGGTAAAGTGCTTTTCGTTGTGTGGAGAGCTCAGGGGCCAGTTAAATAAAAGAATTAAAGGACCGCTCACCAGGAAATTGAACTGGAGAAATAGGTACCACGGGGGTAAACGACCGTTATCTTGGAATAATTTGAAGGACTAGAAACGAATAGATTATTATCAAAGTTATATTAAGTTGGTTTATTAAAGAAGTCAACCTAGCTCTTTATCGAAAGGCCCGGTCCAACATTGAAAGACTCTGTATTTGAACGGTCGTCCCCGATCCCTCTTGGGTTGGCCCCAGTTTATCAGTGATGAACCTCGACCCTCATCGGTAGACCTGGTCCCTCATCGGTAGACCTTGGCCCCTCATCGGTAGACCTCAATCTCGCATCAGTAAACATCATCCCTTCGTGATCGGGCTACTCCCGTCCAATCAACATAAGGAATCAGGGAATAAGGCAAGGATAGATTAAAGAAGTTAAGGGATAGGAGAATATCAAAGTAATGCTCAATTTGCGATCTACGGGGCACAACTTCGTCGCGCTTATCGGCACTTGAGCCTGACCAAACACCCATTGAAGACAGTCGTGTGGTTAGACTCAAGTGTGAGCAGAAATTCACGTGGCACAGTTTCGTCGCCTTAAGGAACTTGTTTCGATCTACCTTCCTGTTCCGGGGAAAAATATGTTTGTCTCCCCCCGTTGCAAACAGTCGTGTAGCGAAGTTTAAGTGCGAATAGAGCTCCAGAATATAGTTGTCCTGTGAGCTCGTTCGAGTAGCAACACCACCCCCCCCACAAGACCCGCTATCGGAAGCGGTCTCCCTCACCTCACTATCCGGAAGCAAAACAAAGGTCAGATGAATAACACCCTTGGAGACAACAAAGGAAACGGCCAGGGACAAAAATCTCCCTGAAGAATTGTTTATACGTCCACTCTCGACTAGGTCGATCGAGTGACCACCTACTGGCCCAACGAGTAAAGAATATCCACTCGAGCCCCAGGTCTACCTCTTTTTAAGGCAGGTATTTGCATCCTCACTTAGTCTTCCAAAGAAAGTTATCCGCCAGCCGACGGGTACATAAAGTGAGAAAAGTTACATACGCGGCATCAGGGTACCTTCTCCAAAAGTCGGTAGTCCAGAAAAGTGATTAATTTGAAGTCTTATTATGCAATCTATAAATTCACCCCGCCATAACAGCTTATGACTGAAATCGTCGGTGATGCCGCCGTCGGTGCCATGTTGCTCTCTTTGGGTCGAGATGAGCAACATGCAACTATAAAAAAGTTCGTACAGCATGAACTTGACGAAGAGATGATAAAACTCACCTTGTTGCAGGAGAAAGATGCTCAACAGGCTATTCTGTTGAGAGAGCAAGGCACCCAACAAGCTGACTTGTTGAGGCAGCAGGGTTCTCAGCAGTCTAAAGTGTAGATATAACAGTAAGTAGGTGCTGCTGCTGCCGGGGTGACGAATATACGTCGACTCGAGTCCTTGAAGATTGATGGCATCACGTACAAGGTAGTCGAAAGCGACTCCTTTTTAAAATGGTTCATCAAACTCGACGATGCCATTGAAATTCGTCGCATGGATGACGATACGATGAAGGTCAGGTTCGCAATGTCGAACTTGGCTGGAAGTGCCAAATCTTGAGCCTTAGGGCCCAAGATGCATGCCCATACGTTTTCCAACATATGATGCCTTCAAGGAGCGCCTTAAAAAAACGTTTAACCACTTCGCGCTGTATTCAGGGCTCAAGCTTATCTCCTGGATCTGAGACAGGGTAAGCGTTATATACACGCTCACGCCCAACATGCAAACGATACCTTGTCAGTTGTATTCGCGCTTGACCCAATAGATGAACACACGCAGGTTACGGTGTCCATCAAGCGTCTGACGGATGGTCTCGTCAAGACCCGCCTTTTCCACTTGGAATTGGTGTCTCTTGATCAAGTGATCTATGCAGCAGAACAGGAGGACTTCAGCCTCCAAGAGGCTCATGTACACTCGGGATCCTATCGTCCATTGGGACGACAAGAGGGCAGAGGTCTACATCCTATGAACCTCTTCTATGTCGAGAGATAGCGACCTTGCTTTCCAGAAAATAAGCAGTTTAAAAAGCGCAATCGCTGCCTAAAGATGGGTCACTACTCGAATGATTGTAGTGCCTCACGCCCAGTGTCTCGTAACACTGGGAGTGACGACCGTCCGCCCTGTCAAGAAGGGTCAAAGACGTACGTCCGCGCTGTGCGAAGCCAAAACAACGTGCTGGATCGTCAGAAAAAACGGTCGGGGTCAGTAGGGGCGGAGCGCCCTGCTGATCCAGCAACCTCAAGAGAGTTCGCGCGACTCTTGACGAAGGTTGATTCCAACACACAGTCAATGTGTGTTGCCGTACCTATTGATGAGGCATCCTTAAAGATCGAAGCGACATGCCACTTTGCGCCATAGTTGACTGTGGGGCGTCGAACAAATTTGTTCGGTGTCGGTCGCTAGATGGTCGTAGTCTCAAATATGTTGAGTGCAAGACCCCTCCAACAAGGATGACGGTACGCCTAGCAGCGCAGCCACAGCGAGATCCTTTGCGATAAACTCTCGACTAAATTGAGGATTACTTTTTTGCCGCTTCTGGGCAACCTATTCGTTCTTCTGTGAATGCCGACCTCTATGCAAACGTTCATGCCCCGGTACACTCGACTTATTCAAGTGGTGGACCTTCGACGCTGTCTGTGCGTCTACACAGCCGTCGGCAGCTTGCTTTACAGTATGAATGTCTGTAATACTGAGTTCTCGTGCAGCCGCACTAATGATCGATCTACAAAGTGAGGCCATCGCACTCACTCGTAGCACATAAACGGTGTGATCGCTCCAAGACGTTCATCATATAGCCATATGATGAACAAGCGGAAGGCATTTTCATAATTTGACGCTCCTAACTGACCCATGGCTCGTACCTTTTGAGCCATGGCAATCCTAGGATGACATTTAATATATCATCCAGGTCGAGTACGATGATACTCGTATGATGATACTTTCATCGTAATCTTTACCTTCAAGTATGTAATGACTTCCCACTACACATTTCAGTATCTGGATGGATGCGCCTACTACCACAGCTAGAGGAAGTCGAGGGAATAAGTTCCATCGATCCTGAGGGAATAAGTCCCCCCATAAAATCACTGAGGGATTTAGTCCCCAGAGTTCTGAGGGAACAATTCCCAGGAAGTAGCCGAGACGTTGAACGTTTTGGTTCCTGACGGATCAAACGTACGCGATTGTACGCTTGATCTGATCGCGCCTCCAAATTTACCTTCGTAGATAACTCAGTTGCTACGCTCGAGCCTATAAGTTTTTTGCACGATCTGCGTAGTGGTAAAGTCAGGCAGATATGTGTATGCGTCGCAGAGGACGAGTACGTGACCAATATTTGGTCAGCAAGGGTATGTTTTTGCTAAGAACGAGCGACTTCTCATCATCTCATCAATGGACAAAATTGTTATTGATAAAAAGACTTGGATTGAGGGATACACATTGCAATCCTAAAGCGTTTTAGTCAGAAAATTTGTACAAGGATTGGGTCGAATCCAAAGATGTATATATTAAATTCGTATCGGCCGAAGTCCTAAGGACATGTGGTGAAGGGGGTTCTTAAAATTGTATGATGAGACCCCAAACCACTCACTGTGCCGGACTGTCGACTGTCGGAGGGGGTACCCCGATGCCGCGTATGGACCTTCTTGTCACCTTGTGTACCCGTCGGCTGGCGGGTTGCACTCGTCGGAAGACTTGGTGAGGATGTAGACGTCTGCCTTGAGGGAGGTAGACCTGGGGGGCCTCGAGTAGATATGCTTCACTCGGTGGGCCGGTAGGTGGCCACTCAATCGACCTTGGCGAGAGTGGGATTAAAGCCAAATTCTTCAGGGAGCTTATTCCTGGCCTTTCCTTCTTGTTTCAGGTGTATTTGCCGCCTGAACTTTCCTTTGCTCCTGAACCGTGAGGTAAGGGAGGCTGCTTCCGATAGAGGTTTGTTGGGGGGGGGTCTACTCGAACGAGCTCACAGGCCAAATATATCCTGAAGCACTATTCGCACTTGAACTTCGCTAC